GAAGAGTTGCCCCATATCTCTTGAATCTTCCAGAGATATCCCCCACTTTTTTATTCTATCACTACTGGAGAGTCAGTATTTGCAGCCAGCCAGCCAGTGACTCTCTCAGTGTCTATTTCTGACTTCTTTCCCTGTCTGTCTTCCAACCCCATAATCATATTTCCACCTGGATGCATCATTTTTACTCCCAATATGCTGGACCTGGTCTCATTGGGTTTGCAGTTTGAAAGGTGCTCACGATCTACCTGGCAGCCAGGACCCGGTCTCATGGGGTTTGCAGTTTGAAAGGTGCTCGAGATCTACCTGGTGGCCAGGATCCGGTCTCATGGGGTTTACCCACGCAGTTTGAAAGGTGCTCGCGATCTAGGTGGCAGCCAGGACCCAGTCTCATGGGGTTTTACCCGCGCAGTTTGAAAGGTGCTCGAGATCTACTTAGGGGTTAGTGCCACCTCTTCTCTGCCCTGCCAGCTTCTCCGATCACTAATCACCGGTGGTGGGGGGGGGGGGGTGAGGAAGAGGCGGCCACCAGCGCCGCTTCTTCCCTGCCCCGCACGCCTCTCCGATCACCATCACGGCTGGGGGGTGGGGCAAGGCCCCCAGTTCTCCGATCACGGCTGGGGGGCGGGCAAAGGCTACCCGGTTCTCTGATCACAGCTGGGGATCAGGCAAAGGCTGCCTGGTTCTCCGATCACGGCTGGAGATTGGGCAAAGGCTGCCCGGTTCTCCGATCACGGCTGAGGGTTGGGCAAAGGCTGCCCGATTCTCCGATCACGGCTGGGGGGGCGGGGCAAAGGCCCCCGGCTCTTGCCTGCCACCTGGGTTTGCAGTCACCATTAGCGGCAGGCGGCTTCTTCCTTCCTTCCCCTTTCGCCTCCCAGCATTGCGCCTACATATGCAAAATAACCACCATCTTTGTTTGCGGTTAACCGCCATCTTTGTTGGCAGTTAATTTGCATATCACCCTGATTAGCCAATGGGAAGCGTAGCGGAGGTATGGCTAATTACCCTTTTTGTCTTTTATTAGATAGGATTACCTGAATTTTACTATTAGTTAGGTTGATTTGTAGATCATAGAAATATGACAGTTGTTATATATCTGCATTTTGTCAAGACATTTGACATAACCTTTGTGATTATCCTTTGTAGACAAGAGATAGTAAATGAGTGATTTAACTCAGGAATTACCTGATAAGATGACACAATATCCCATCCACCGTGTGTAGTGTTTTTCACCATTTTTAGCAATGACATGGATAAAGATATTGATGGCTTGATGATCAAGTAGTGTGTTGGATAACAGAATCAGAATCAAAGATGATTTTACCAGGCTTCAACTAAGAGCCAACTATGATAAAATGAAACACCTTGGATTCCTCTAGTTGGGCCAACAAGCACAAGGATAGGAGGCAGGGGCTTCCTTCAGATCTTGCCTCCATTACTTTCTATGTGATGTATGACCCCACATTCAAAAAGTACAAAAGACTATTGTGAATTCTCTCTTTCCCCACCATTCATGCCATTTTATTCCCCAAAGGCAGCCAAGATGATTAAGTTTTTTAAAGTGTATCCTTCCAGAGACTTTTTATGCCATTGTAAGCAAATTGTGTATGCACATATTTCCCCCTTTCCCATTTTTATACAAATGGGAGTAAGTTATTCACACACTGCTTTGGTAGGTAAATATTGGTTAGTTTTGTTCTTACTCACAGTTGAGAATCAGTGGAAAAGAGAACATATTCTATGCTACCCTCAATATCTGTAACTCTAGTTGTATAAAATGCATTTTTTCCAAGTCACATAATTTTTGTCTCATATTTATGAGTTTATGTTGGGATTTTCTCATACAAGTGTGATCGTTTTCTTTTAAATGGTTTCACAGTATTACTTTGCAGGGATATGTCATAGTGAAGTTAACCAGTCCTTTACTGAGGGACATAATGGCTGTTTTAGTCTTTAACTATTACAAGCAGTGCTGTACGCAATCACTGTATAATAGTTTTTTCTGTGGAATAAAGTCTTAGAAGTGATATTGCTAGGTCAAAGGGGAATTTCACTTTCCAGTCTCAGTATTGTCATCCTTGCCCTCTAGCTTTACATAATCTTAGAAAAAGTAGAATTTTATAGCTGGAAAGGGATTTAGGCACCATCAAAATTCAGTGGTTCTCAAAGTGTGCTCCTTGGATTAGGAGTAGCAGCAACATCACTTGGAATTGGATACAGATGCAGATTCATGGGGCACACTCTAGACCAGCCATGGGCAAACTACGGCCCACGGGCCGGATCCGGCCCGTTTGAAATGAATAAAACTATTGAAATAAAAGACCGTACCCTTTTATGTAATGATGTTTACTTTGAATTTATATTAATTCACACAAACACTCCATCCATGCTTTTGTTCTGGCCCTCCGGTCCAGTTTAAGAACCCATTGTGGCCCTCGAGTCAAAAAGTTTGCCCACCCCTGCTCTAGACCTCCTGAATCAGAACTTCTGGGGGGGCCAGCAATTTGTGCAACAGTTGATTTTACATATGAGGAAACTATCATCAGAAAGGTGTTAGTAACTTAACCAAAAATTATATAATTACTAGAGGTCCAGTGCACGATATTCATGCATGGGTAGGGTCCCTATGCCTGGCTGGTGATCAGGGCCGATTGGGGCCTTCCAGCTGCCAGCGGGGTCTTCCTTCGTTCCGCATCGCCCCCTGGTGGTCAGCGCACATCATAGCGAGCGTTGGAACTCCCAGTCAAACTCCCGAGGGGACACTTTGCATATTAGCCTTTTATATACATAGATTGGTGGCCTCTGTTATATTTCAACTATAACTTGCTGTTTTTCTTATGTTGTTTTAATTTTAAAACATTTTGTTTTTAAAGTTATCAATATAAAAAATAGTTCATTTATTCAATTCCTACTTTTTTCAATTGTGCTTCTCTGCTGTATCTTTTGGGACACAGCAAATTCAAATGAGTACTGTTCTGAAATTTTATCACGATTCTTTAGATTCAGCTGACTTTTTAAAACCAAACTTTAAATTGGCTCCCTGGTATTTTTCACATACAAGTCTCTTTGTTGTCTCAAGAGGTGACCTCTGACTTCTTTTTCAGATTCCTTTCCCATCCTGTCACGCCATTCCTTCTTTAGAATTTCCAAGCTATCTTCTGCTCTTAGCTACTCTACTCCTTGCCACATGCTGTGTCTCTTACCTTTTTCTTTCTCTGTACTACTAAAATCCTATTTTACTGGTTCTTGTCTTCTTGAAGCACTTGGGTCTTTGAGATTGAACAAATCAGTATGCCTTAGCATCCCTATAGCATTTTGTTTTTTCATTCTGTTTCTGTATTCTCCTGGCTTTATTTTATTGATGTGTGTTCATATCAATCTTATTAGCTTATGTGCTCCTTGAGGGCAAGGGCCATGTTGTATTCAGTGTCACTTCAGGCTCCTTGCACCAATCTTTGCACGTACTAGTTGGTGGATAAATGTTGGTTAGCATTGTTCTTATGCACAGTTGAGAATCAGTGGAAAAGAGAATGTATTCTGTACTACCCTCAATATCTACAACCCAGTTGTTTGTGAAATGCTATTGACTACATGGGATCGTAGTTACAATTAAGCATCCATTTTATATCAACCTCTTTCTTGAATTTTACAAATGGACATTTAACCAGATTAACTTATATTTTGATTCTGTTATGTGCCAGGCATAATGTTGTTTGTTGAAGATGACCTGTTTATAGTGTAGTTTTCATACAGAAAGGACAGTGTGTTGTTACTATTTTCTTATTGTAAACTTGAAACATAAAAAGTATGGTATAAAGAGGATGTTTAAATTTTTTTAAATTCTTACAAGATTATAGTTACTGCCTTGTTTACTGTATTGTGCTAAATACCCATATGCCAAGACTAGGTGTTTCTTATTGATGAAACTTCACATCCTAGTAAAACACAAAATGCTCTCAGGTTATCTTAAGATAGTTGCCAAGAAAGAATATAATATATGCTTTGCTGTGTGATGGAGTGGACCTTTTATCATTTTTATTTTAATTTTTCCTTAAAACCTTATAATTTTATACTTTCATAACATTTAATGTTTTGACTGGCACTCACAATACACTTTATAATATTGTAAAGAACTTTTGAAAAGCAAATTTTGGCGATGAATTTTTACACGGTTGCCTGGCGCCTCCAGTGATTTGGTTCATCAGGCACATGTTCTTGTGAGCTGTCTTGAAAAGTGGAGATGTTATGGCTGGCTTAGGGCCAAAGTTAACAACTTTGAAATAATGTGCCACTGTAGTAATTTTGAAATTATTTTTTCCAAGACACATGATTTTTGTGAATTTTTAGCTAATTGTGTGGAAAACAGGGATGTGTTGAATGCTTTAATAAAATTTTGTGATCAGAAGTAAATTGCAAAAATAAATATAATAGATTACCAGCTCATTTAGACACTTGTTTTACCTTGGCAGCTGTATATTAGGAATTTATATATAGTGCTGTCTTTGCTATTTTAAAGTCAACAGTGTTAACCTTACTGTAATGTTGTAAGCTTGTAAGTTTGGTATTATTGTTATTACATACCAAACCTAAGCAAAACTGTTTTGTCATTATCCCTAGACTCAATTAAAAGCCAGTTCAGATACTAGTACTTGAGAAGGTAGAAAAATTTCATTCTTTTTCTGTTCCCAGGAATGTATAAGTCAGCATAGGAGACTTTTTGCAACTGAAACAGGAAGCATTCTTTACAACAGCTTTCAAAATTTCACAATGCTACATAACTAATTTTTCAGACTTATCTGGCAGCTTTAATTTAGTTAGTTGCCAACAAGTTATGGTCATATTGTCCACAATCAACTGGAAATTTATGCTGTTAATATCATTAGAGGCAAGTTTTGCTGAATGGTTGATAAAGTAAAGCTATATCCCATCTGTAGTTCTTGTATCTAGCATTCATTTTATATCAAAATGTAGAGTTGAGTTTCTCATTATTTCTTTTCCAGTGAACATTTGTCCTGTGCTTTCACATTCTTTCTTCATGGGGAAAGTAATGTATGCACAAGTGTGGAGATTGCCCAACACCAGCCAATTTATTTGATCAATGAGGAGCATATACACATGGCTCAGTCTTCACCTGCACCATTTCAAGGTAAGTAAATGGTGATGCCCTGCTCTTCCCCTTCCCCCTCTCCACCTTACTGGCTAGCCAGCCATCTGCCCAGTTAGGTTTTGCAGAATGAGATATTATCTTTAATGGACATTTTAAAGGTAAGCATAAAGGTCAGTTTCTGAAGAAGAAAGACCAACATTTCATAATCCTATATAATAAAAACCTAATATGCTAAGTGTCCGGTCGTCCGGTTGGCCGTTCAACCAATCAAAGTGTAATATGCTAATGATATGCTAAGGTCGCTCAACCACGCGCTATGATGTGCACTGACCACCAGGAGGCAGACGCTCTGACCGGTAGGTTAGCTTGCTGGTGGGGTCCAGCCGATTAGGACTGAGCGAGACATGCCCTGGAGCCCTCCCGCAGTCCCTCCTCGGCTGGTCAATCTCCCGCGACCCTTCTCAGCCCCTATCGTGCACTGGTGGGGTCCCTCGGTCTGGCTTGCATCCTCTTGCAATCCGGGACTCTTCAGGGGATGTCAGAGAACCGGTTTCGGCCCGATCCCACAGGCCAGGACAAGGGACCCCACTGGTGCACGAATTTGTACACTGGGCCTCTAGTTAAATTATAATAGCTTACTAGTTTTTTTGTTGATTTGTTTTTGCTGAAAGTTTATCACATATACAATGTGGTCTTATGTGAAGCTGAGTTGAGAAATAAAATGTAGAGACTTCCTGCAGAAAAAAAGATTAATAAGTATTTGGAAAACATAATCCTTATAAATTAAAGGTTTTTATTGTTTTGTTTGTTCCACTGTTTCAAGAATGCCATCATTTGCAGATAATCACTATTACACTTAGTATTTGAAATTTTAATCAAAATCAAATTTCTAGAGTTATGTAATATATAATTTAATCAGTGACGGTAATAACTTTATTGTTTTCTCTTAATTATAGGCTACATTGATTATAGGCATTTGGTTGTAATTTAATAGACATTCATATTTTTTTTCTGTATTTTTTTAGACATTCATATTTTTATTAATTCTCAGCTTATCACCGAAATATCACCAAAATAACCTCATGTCCCTTTTCTGTAATTGTGCATTCTATATATCTTCGGTTTTGTGTTGGAATTCAGAATTTTCTATGAATAAACTTTAAAATGTTTTAATGTTAGATTGAACCATATGGAAACATCTTTTTTTTTTTTTATCAGTTCAATTTGTCTTTGCTAGAGATGTCTGATTAAAATAGTCTTACTATAGTACACAATATAATTTTTAAAACACTGATATTTTAACAGACATGACTGAAGTATTTTTATTGATATAACCGCTTGTTATATTAGATAAATATGAATATTTATCCTCCATATTATTTATGATTGCCTTTTTGGTTTTCTACAGATGATTCTGATTTAATTTGATAAAAGCATCTGTTTCTTGCCCTAAAGTACTACTTACTTTCCCCCTACCTCCCACTTGCAACGTATTTTATACTATATTCATTATTATTCTGTAATTTGGGGTGTTTTATGTGTGGGCTGCTATACAAAAACAGCCCAATTCTCAGACTGTACACTTGAGAGTTACACATTATGCACATATTATGGATTGTCAAAATTATTTAAATACTATGTTTCCTTGACTGTGAAGGTGCTGAGGACCATCTGACTTCATTCTAGACGTTATCACTCAAAATAAAAGCATTTCTTTATGGTTACAAAAGGAATTACTAGTCATAAGGGAAGGTAACTAACCTAAGTTGATAAGGATACTTTTAGGGATACCAGGTCCCTATAGACCACTTATTTTTAAAATCTTACTGGTTTTTTGCTAATGCTTCAAATCATAGAGAAAACCTTTGTGGGACATTGTCCTGCTTATTTCCCTAGATTAGTGTGAGGAGGTACATTCTTAGGGCAGGTGCTGGCCTATAGATGAACTGTAGTGAACACAATGATATTGATGTAGGAATTTCCTAGAAGTGTTAATATAGGAAAATTGCCCTTGATTAACTGTGTTTAGAGTCAGTAATTTTAGCCCATTTGAATCAGTGAGGAACAGCAGAAAGGCACCAAGAAATATGTGATGTCTACAGCTATTTCTGTCTTGATTGATGTGGTATACCATCCAGCTGTTAAATAAAGCCATCAAAAAGAAAAAGAATACCCCATTTAATAACTATGCTGAGATTTTTTTTTTTTTTTTAATTAGGAGTAAGAAAAAGTGACCTCTTTATCCCAGAAAAGTGTTATTTGGAAGGTTGAAATACTCACCCTGAGGCTAAGAACTGGCTGGATTATACACAGCACTGTGTTAACTACATTTTTGTGTGTAGCTCAGTGAAAGTGACATCAAGGTCAATTACTGAAAGAGAAAGAAGGATTTTAAGTCCTTTACTTTAGTGAAACAAATTTTATTTGGAGTTGTTTTATCAACAGATTTCTAAAACAGTAGAGATATGCCTGAATAATAAAGCATTATATTTTATAGTAGGTAAATTAAGGCTTTTCTGCTAATAGAAGTTTTATTTATGCATAATTTTTTGGTTACCACAGACTTTAGGAAGTATCAAGAACCATAGGAAGAGTGTTCAAGTTCTTGGCAGGTTTTGGGGTTGTATTGAATGGTTTTGTTCTGTGATGGAAGATTCAGTGTTTATGTTGTATAAGCTATTATCAAATTGATAAGTATAAGCTTTAACATACAGATAATTTATATACTGTGTGTCGCTATAGCTTCTGATAGTACTATATCTCCCCCATTTGATTTCCTTCAAAAATTGATGTGAGTTGAGAGGCATAAAATTAAAAACTTTAAAGAATCACACTTTGAAAGGAGTTAGCAAATAAAGAGCAATATACATTAAATGATGCTATACTTTAATCTAAAAATACCACAACAGTTAAGTAGGAATTATTACTGTGATCTGTAATATATGTTTCTCCTCCCTGACTCAGTACTGGTAAGTCCTTATGGATTAAACGGCACGCTAACAGGCCAAGCATACAAGATGTCCGACCCAGCCACCCGTAAGTTGATAGAGGAATGGCAGTATTTCTACCCAATGGTGCTGAAAAAGAAAGAAGAATTGAAAGAAGAGGAGTTGGGATACGACAATGATTTCCCTGTGGCAGTCGAAGTAATTGTTGGTAAGAGAAAATATTTTGCCTGAAGAACTTTATTCTCTCTTCGTCTTCCTTAATTTAAAAAGATAATCACTTAGATTCATCAAAAATAATCTCCATAATTTTCCCATTTTTAAAATTCTCTTGACACAGTGGTTATACTGAATAGTTTTCTTGCCTGAAGCACCAATGGTCCCTGGATTCCAAATGCTATTATTATAATTTTGGAACACATGGTTAAGCAGCTATTAACTTATGGAAGAATGGGACAAATCACTTTTTGCAGGACCTAATGAGTATCCCATGCTCACCAGAGCTTTGACTCTGACCACTGGAATAATAAAGTTGGCAGTCTAGTGTGAACTTTCTCTCAGCCCTGATTCTCTCCTTGCTCTTTCCTTACAGGTGGTGTCCGGATGGTTTATCCTTCAGCTTTTGTTCTGATCTCTCAGAATGACATCCCAGTTCCTCAGAGCATTGCCAGTGCTGGAGGCCATATTTCAGTTGGGCAGCAGGGACTTGGTAGTGTGAAGGACCCAAGTAACTGCGGGATGCCTCTTACCCCGCCCACCTCTCCAGAACAGGCTGCCACAGGTGAGTACAATCCAGGAATGTTCTGGGTAAATGCGATCCCAGAAAATCATCTAGTTCCCTTGCCATAGGACAGGGAGAAAACTCATCTTGAGAAATTCCTGGAGAAAGAGGTAGAAGTAGGGTAACACGGGAATTTTACAAAATGGAAAAGGAAAAATTTAAACAAACAGAATGTATATGCTTCAGAATTTTAGTCTCTGAATTATCCAGTTAAATAATTTAGTTGTTTCTCTTAAGTTCTACACACACATCTGTCCCTTTTAACACATGTGTGTGCATGTACATACATACTGTCAGGAAATAAGATGAAGGCTGCTTCTTTGTTGTAAACAAATGGAAAACACTACATCAGAGAATGGCTGGAACTTTTGCTCAGTTGACTATTGCCAGACAGAGATGTGTCTTAGACAGTTCTTACTCTACTTTGATAAAGTTAGGCCAGCATCCAGGACCTCTGAATAAATGCTTTGCCCTGTCAGTAATCTTTGTCCATTAATGATAAAAATGTTATCCAAAATGTGAAAATCTTGACAAACAGTTTTCCTTCATGGAAAAATTCAGAAATTGTTTAAATTGAGAGGATTTTATCTTTTTGTTGAATAGTATATTTTGTATATTAAATTTTGTGGTAGTTGACTTTCATTGGAAATCTAGTCACTAAAGAAAAGATATTCATCATACTTGAGCTGAAATGAAATTATTTATAGGCATTTAATGTGGACATGTTGGTAGGAACATCAAAATAAAAGTCTCAGCTGCTAAGCTTTGAAAACACTCTCAAGCATGTTCCACACCAACATGGTAATTTTCATGAGGATTAGATATTTCAGTTTCTAGCACACTGCTTGCCACATAGTGGGCCTTCAATAGAAGTTCATGGTTAAACAGTATGTTGGGAAAAGTAGAGATTTTGTGATTGAACACACCTAATTTTAAAGCTTGTCTGTAGCTTTTTAAGTTAGTGACCTTATTTAACTCTTATACTTGTTCTGAACCCCAGCTTCCTTCTCTGTCAAATACTCCATTCTTCTTTTTTAAAAAAAATATATTTTTATTGATTTCAGAGAGGAAGGAAGAGGGAGAGAGAGATGGAAACATCAATGATGAGAGGATATCATTGATTTCTGCCTCCTGCATGCCCCACATAGTGATCGAGCCCACAATCCGGGCATGTGCCCTGACTGGAAATCGAACTGTGACCTCAGGGTTCATAGGTCAACACTCAGCTACTAAGCCACGCCGCTGGGCACAAATACTCCATTCTCTACAAGGTTGTTATATGTATTAGGTATTATACTTGACAGAGTTGCGTAAATAGTTTCACAGTATACGCATGGATTACTCTGATACTGTGTGGGAGACAGAAATGCGCAACATGCGGCCTCTGTTTCTAAGGGCTGTGTAAGTTGCTAAGATGGTGGAAAAATATGCATCTGGCTCTAACTTGGTAGAGCAGAGAGTTTGGATGATTTCTTGTGAAAGGATTTGCTCAAACAATTTTTATTAACTACTTTAAAATGAAAAAAGAAAAACTACTTTTATAGTCTTTCATAATAATCACCACAGAGAAGATACAGTAAGGAAAGATTAGAACTATCAGTATTTTGAAGTTTTAATCACATTTCATATAAAGGTTTGTATTTTTAACAGTTGCACTCGGTAAGTTGTTATCCCTTTTTGTTTTATTTATTTTGCCCAGCATTTAGGGAAATTTATATTCAACTTAAAATTGAAGGCTTACTGTGTGCATAAATAAGGCCTTGACCTCTTATGGATAAGTTCAGAACTCTAAGTGTCATAACTCAAAATTAAGAGGTTTTGTTTATGGTGGGTTTCAGTGTGGAGTTCATGGCTATAGATCTTCCAGCTCCTTCCCCTCTAAATCTCTGAGTGTCATTGTGCTAGGCCCTGGGTCAGTAAGTCCCCTGATGCTTCCTCCCTAAAGCAAGCAAGCAAGCAAAAAACAAAACACAGACAAACACAATGAAATGAAAGTTACTGGAATCTTTGCTGTAAAATGAACTTGTCCAAATGCGTACATCATGATATGTGAGTTACAGCTTAAAACTCTTACTGCTCCATCAGAAAGAGTCCTGCTCAGCCTTGTCGCTCTGCATTGACTAACATTGAGCATTGCCATGGTTTTCTAGATATAGGACGAAATGGGTTACTTTGTCCCTAAAGTGGCCGAGGGTTGCCTAGAGCAGTGGTCAGCAAACTGTGGCTCGCGAGCCACATGTGGCTCTTTGGCCCCTTGAGTGTGGCCACGAAGTTTCAGTCGCACTTTTACGTGCACGCCCGCACGTGGTATTTTGTGGAAGAGCCACACTCAAGGGGCCGCAGTTTGCCAACCACTGGCCTAGAGTAACAGGACCCAGGAGGGCCGTTGGTTTTGGTGAAGTCACTTGTGAATAGGCACATCAGCTTGCCTCTTCTGTTTATATAGACACTTGTAAGAAATAACACTCAGCATGCACTTAACAGCATGGAGTACAAATCCTGTTTAGTTCCATACGAGATATCACCCACATTTTAGCTAAATTGTTAAAAGCTCTTGAAAAACATTTGACTTAACTTTAATCAGAAAAGACTGTGGCTTGTTTTCTGTACCCCTCTCCTTTATTGGTCATAACTTCCTTTAACTCCATGGGCATATGATCTCTTTAGCTATATTGTAGGGTGTTCGGTGGCAAAGACTGAGTTATCTACTTCTGCTGTTTATTTCTTCACTTTGCTTTGTTTTAGAAGAGGCATTTGAAAGTCCATTGTAAGATGGAAATGAATTATTTTGCATCATGAACCAAGTCAGGGAACTTTTAAGATAAAAGGTAGCAATGAAAGACCAAATTCCTTGTCTCCTTTGTCTTATTTGTAATGTAACAGTATTTTTCTGGGGAACAAGAAAGCTTCCATTTCTTAGAATGTAAGCACTTGGGGTTGGTTTCTTTCTTTTTTAAAAAAAATACAGCTGAGCCTAACCATTCAACTCATCATTGTTTTGTTGCATTGATGCCAAGAATATTAGTTTGTGATTTCTTTTTCAGATGAGAATGGAGGTTTCCAGAGTTCTAAAAATAGATTATTTTGGTCAGGATGTTTTGCATCCTATTTCTGTTCAGAGTAAAACCCACAATATATTTATGAAATCAAAAAGATGAAAGTAATTGATATTTAATACTGGAAACTGACTTCAGTATTTGTTTTGTATGAGATAGAAGTAATAAAATACTCATGACATAATCAATAATCACTATTATCAGAAGTCATAATGGTTATAATAGAAAAAAAAGGATGACATGCCACCTATAGTTGGAGAAACAAAGTGTAGTTAGAAACCAGTGAATTTTTAATGTCCTTTTATTAAAATGTTGAGACAACCTCTTTCAATGTTTTAAGTACTACACTTTCATAAATAGTGTCGGACATTAGGACAAGCAGTCCCACACACAAATTTGAAATTTGACCTTGTTAAAAGCTTTGTGCCAGTAAGTTTTTTCTTCTACTAGGGCACTGTGCACAGTTGTTACACAACCATTTAGCTAAACAAGCATAAAGTTCCCTCTACTGTTTTGTTTTGCCTTGAAACTTATTTACTGCATTGGGATTTAAAAATTCAAAACAGTCTATGCATGTTTATGTCTTTGATATTATGATGTATGAACCCTTCTGTGTAAGGTATTTCCAGTCCCCATTTGAGCAGGAATGCCTCTGTGTGGTTATGCTCATGAGGGAGTGTGAGTATGTGAGTATTGATGTGATTAACTATTTTAGGGGAGAACACAAAGAATCATACAAAATGCCAACAACAACAAAAATCTATACTGTCACAAATTTTACTCATAGCTACAGAGAATGTTATTATTGCAAGGGGGCAGGAGCAAAGTTACATGAATGTGAGTCTTAACAATTAAAATGTTTATGTTAAATAAGCTAGCTTTAGAGAAAAATGGCATTGCAACTTACCTGTCTTTTCCAGGTGAGAGTGGAGGTGCTCAGAGTGCTGTCAGTCACTTAGGTGCCCAAGATGGGGGGATGATAACTATGCACAGTCCAAAGAGATCGGGGAAGATTCCTCTAAAACTCCACAATCATATGGTCCATCGAGTCTGGAAGGAATGCATCCTCAACAGAACGCAGTCCAAGTATGTTTTTTTGCATTATGTCTGGATTGTGGTTTAGTAACCATCTCTTTGATTACTATACAAAGAGGGTCAGTCATATTACACTGTTGTGTGACAAAGCCTGAGGGGTCATTAAATAGGTATTTCTTTATTTTGAAAATAATAGTATGGGTAAATTTTTTTTTAAGTTTTTATTGATTTCAGAGAGCAAAGGAGAGAGGGAGAGAGATAGAAACATCAATGATGAGAAAGAATCGTCTATCAGCTGCCTCCTGCACGCCCCTAATGGGGATCAAGTCTGCAACCCAGGCATGTGCCCTAACCCTGAATTGAACCATGACCTCCTGGTTCATAGATTGATGCTCAATCACTGAGCCATGCTGGCCAGGCCATAATAGGATAAAAGTTAATGCAAACATGTTAAAATACAGATGATAACTTGATTTGATTATTCAGGAAATTTTGAAGTTCCTGATACCAATTTCTGAATGTTTCCTATTTACAGAGAGAAATTACCTTCTTTGCCACGTTTTCTATTTTATATTGACCTTATGCTTTAATTGACAATACATTTCTGAACTGAATTAATGACAATTGGAGGGGTGTTTACCAGCCTCTGTGCTTCTGTTTGTTCATTTGGGGAAATTGTATTCTTTTCTTTCCCCTATCCAACTTTCTTACCTTTCTTCTTTTCTTTCTTTCTTTCCTCCCTTCTTTTCTGCCCTCCATTTCTCCCTCCCTTAACATATTTTTGGAAAAGAGGAAGAACTGACTATAAGAGATTACTGTTGATTATTTTAATTGCATGAATAATAATGACAATAATAGTCAATAAATGCTTTTTTACTTATCAGGATTTAGGTAATCATTCTGCTTATTTTCATATCTATTTTGATATGGTTGAGATGTCCACTTTCTTAACAGATGCAAGTAAAAAAATGAACCTTGATTCTGTGGAATAGAATAAATATGGACATTCTTGCCAGTAACTAAGAACTCCATTCATTTAGAAGTCAGTCAGATGTTTCTTAGTGACTACTATGCAGTCTTTATATACAGATTTAAAACTTGTCCTTTGGACCTAGCTTTTAGAAAATTCGATACTATATATTTATTTCTCAATGAATTGGTTCTAGAATAGGCTGCTGAAGAAGATGTAATAAATAAGCTAAAGTAATTGCCATGAAAAATCATATGTCACATTCTAGAATTAAAAAGTTATCTCTAATCATTTAAAAAAAATGATCCTTTCCTTTAGAATAATACTTTCCCTTTTATCTGCAATACCTACCCGTGGTCAGCAAACTGCGGCTCTTTGGCCCCTTGAGTGTGGCTCTTCCTAAGCCTAGGAGTACCCTAATTAAGTTAATAACAGTGTACCTACCTATGTAGTTTAAGTTTAAAAAATTTGGCTCTCAAAAGAAATTTCAACTATTGTCATTGTCATTGATATTTGGCTTTGTTGACTAATGAGTTTGCTGAGCACTGACCTAGACCATTTCCAAGTTAACATTTTCTTTTTCTTTTCCTTTCATTTACCTTTTTTTTCTTTTTTTATTACCACTAACCTTTCATCTCCACCAACTCTAACAGACCGTGTCCCCTCTATCAGCAGCATAGAACAAGGTAGCAAGACACCCAGAAAGGCAGGAGAGGGTGGAGAGCAAGAGAATTCCTTGCAGAGCCATCATCAAAACATTTTGCAGTGTCAGCTATAGCAAAATCAGCAATAAAAAATCTGGCCTACTCTTATTTTCACTATGTAATAATAAGCACCTCCTTTTTGCTACCAATTGTCAGTGACGTGTAGGAAATATTTTTGTTTCTTGTCTTTTGGTTCACATTCCAGGTATGGAGTGGTGTCCTTAATGCTAGCAAATACAGGAGTTGTAAAGGTGACTTCAGCAATCTAACTGAGGGCATATAATTCACAGATTCTGTGAAAAGATAATTTTTTAAAATTTAGGGTATTTCTGCAAAATTTAGGCGGCTTTTTAAAAAGTTATAATGAATAGTGCCAGATAGTGTTTTAATTGCTATGTGTACTGTCCATTTTAAATGTGCATTAAACTTAAATAGATATATTTTGAATCCTGCTTCTTCTGATGCAAAGAACAAGTAGTAGTCCATCTCCCCACCTTGGATTGCTCTGAACTATTATCTGCAGGATACCATTACTATGTAAAATGTGTAAATATTTTTAACATTTTCCCCCCCCAGAGATTATGTTTACACAGCTCACATTTTTAACCCTTTCTAGGAGGAGCCAAGTGTCAACTCCAACTCTTGAAGAAGAGCCTGCTAACAATCCTACTACTTGGGATTTTGTGGATCCAACCCAAAGAGTCAGCTGTTCCTGCTCTAGGTGGGTGGAGAAAAGGCAGAACAGTCGTCTGACCTGTCCTCTCAGACCCCTTCTTCCCCATTGTTTTGTTTTAAATCTTCTTCTTCCAGTAAGTAAGAAAAGGATAGGTCTTTTCTTATATGCAGATGATATCGTTTTATTGTCAGGACTCGAAAAGAGTCCTTTTAGACAACTGGCCCTGATACTCATTTGCTACCACGGATTTCTTAGGGTAGCTGTGTCAAAACTAAAGGCATTTATTTGACAAGACAATCTCTTGCCCTTTAAATGAATTTACTTAACTACTCTTAATTTTAAAGTAGAGATAAATAGTAAACAAGTCAGCTTGAGTTAATAGAATTTGGATTAAATATACATTCTATAGATAATTTGTTTTGTTGTGGGTGCTGGTGTTTTTTGATGACTAAGGCAGATATTTGTAATAAAACCTGCCCAAGGCTAAGATTGTTGCTCATTCATTTAGATATTAGAATAGGAACCCAAATTGTTTTCTGTAGGAAAATTTTGTACTCCTCCTGGATATTTCCTTGACTTACCACTTTCTGTGGTGGTAAAGAATCTTATTGTCATGAGTTTTCATTAGGGTTCTGATTAAGTGTATGTCAGCCTTAACTGCTCCCCCTACCCACCCCTGCTCACTTGACTATTAGAACCTGTGCTGTTGATTATTCACTTAGTGAGTAGTTTTGCTTCCAAAGTATGTATTTTCACATTTGATATTGCTCCATAATTATAGAAAGTTTAGATGAGAAAAAGTGTATTTAGAACATTGCCATTCATTTCTCTAGTTTAATGGGATTCTTAGTGTGACATAAATTGAATTGGCTTATTGGCTTTGGGAGGAAGGGGTGTGCTTGTGTGTGTGTGTGTGTGTGTGTGTGTGTGTGTGTACACTTACACAACAATTTTGACACCTGCCTGATTCCCCTTAAGTTGATCCCCTTTTATCAAGCTCTGCCTTGTTAGTCAGCTTTCTGATGAGAGATACTCTAAGTATTAGCCTAATGAAACCCATGATTGATTTTTCAAGAAGGATGTTTTTTAAGAAGTTATTGGCTCATCAAGGGACCTCTCTGTGAGCATGTGAGAAGCTCTAGTCTTAGGATAGGTGTGGTATACCAGTTGAATACTTTTGTCTCTAGACCATTGTGAATTGTGTGACATAAAGTATTTTCCTAACATTGGTTTTTAAACAGCTCATAACCCAGGTTTAGTTCACCTTTAGAAAGTATGGAGGCCGTAAATTTTAGTATATTTAACTTTATTAGTTCCTTCATCTTATTTTATTTATTTTTTTTTTTGCTATTTTCCTTACGCTAGATTTCTTTCACTATAAAAAATAACCCTTTTACTGATTTATATCATATTTTTATTTACTACCTTGAATTATTTTTACCTGAAGTTCAAATAAACAAATAACACTTTTCTTTTTGTCCTCTGAAGTTACTGTTATATTTCCTCACAAAAACCTCGAATACCTCAGGTCTTTCTTAAAGTTATGCATTGCAGCCCATTGATTTCCAAATATTTATTTACAGACCTGGCTTCTCACATGTACTTTAGTCTTATATTTTTTGGGGGTGCCATTTATATTCTTAATATTGACATGTCTGTTTTCTCCAAAATCAGGTACCCTATTGTCATTTTTATCACAATTTCCTCTTCTTAGTCTAGAAACTTCATTTATTTATTTTTCTTTATTTTCTAGATCAGTTTTATCATTGCATTTTATAATGACTTTCTTTGAAATGTGTATTGTAATGTCATTCTACTTTCCTCATTCTTTTAGCCTCCATGTGTTTCAACACTGTTTGGCCCTGCCTCTGGTTCCTTCCCACCACTGGACCACTCATATAGTTAGCCTTCTGAGGCTGATCTTCCTGTTGCCTGCTTCAGTGAGGTCCCTTTCTGTTCAGAAATTTGCAATACTTGTCTGTTACTTACTGGCATATTCCTAATTCTAACCATTTCACAATGTAGCTGAGTCATTAAATATAATTGAAAAAATTTGACTTTATAAGATTATCCACTTTGCAAAAAGCCCTTACTTTGAAGAGGCTACTATAAAATATCTATCAAAGGACTGATGTGGTTAAATGCTCTCTGAGAAAATCCAAATCAAGAAGTTTTAGTAAAAGACTTTCGGTTTTAAAATAAGCACCCTTAGAAGATATCACTGAGATATTCTCAGATGAGACATTCATCTCTTACTATAGTACTGTGCCCTTGGGACTCAAAGCCACAGGTTTTACCTTATCGATAATCGCTTTATGGTTAGACGACCTTCTTCAAAGTCAGGATTTTTGTTTGTTTTTTTAGAGGAGCAAAGACTTTGGCAAGAGTGTTTTCAGATTATCTACTGCAGGATTACCAGACCCATTATGGGATGGCCTACTCCTCACTCTGTTTAATGGCCTTATGGGGCAGGGTGGCCATCCTGCTGTCCCACTAAACAATCCCATTATGCCACACAAATCCGTTTTACTGCCCACTTGGGCATCATTGAGTGCAATGCAGCAGTAATTTAATGCCACCCTGGTGGCCTCAGAGAGTTACTGGAGAGCTTACATTTTTCCCTGGGAGGGATTTATATATTGGGAGGAACTGGCCGACCTGCTATATAACTTGGTTGCACAGATTAAACCTTGCCATCATCTAGGGTTCTTCCTGAGCGTTTTCTCAGCCATATTGCCAGGAAGAGTGTGAGCAGACTTGCTGTTCCTGCCTCAATACTTCATGTGCACTTGGATATGTGTTCACTCACAACAACTTTTTTACTTCTATCTCATGCTAACCTATGTAAGATCCCAAGTTGTCTTTTTCCCTTATTTCTTAGATAATGGTGTCATATAAGGTTTCAGGTATGTTTAGGCTATTAGGTGTTAGAATTCACCCTTATTATCTTAGTGTCACATTTTGGGAGAGAGTAGCATACTTATTTTATTCCTGATTTACAACACTACAAGCCATTATAAATCATTCTATATTGGAGTTAGTAAAGTGCTGTGAAATACAAATTAGAAGTTTTGTTTTGGCAGATGATCTCAAAACTCTTGACTTTAAGATGGAGTATGAATAGATTATCTGAGACCCTCACCAAATTGGAAAGTTTTGGAGATTTTTTTCAAATCAGTAATTTTGTAGGGTTTAGCAGTGTATGAGTTTATGATTCATAATTCCATCTCTTATCGTCTTAACTTGTATGTGGTTGATTTATTGCTTTTCATCAGGGTGTTTGCAGTTTTTAGTCATTAAAAATATAATTAACACCTAGAGTCTTTTTTGGTGTATTAGTGCATCTGCTGAGTACTTAACAAGACATAACCTCATCAGAGGCATCTCTTTTGTAATGTTATAACGATGCAGTCATTCTCATCTGTGTATTTGTTGACATTGTTTTAATTCTCATTTCAGGCATAAACTTTTAAAACGTTGTGCCGTAGGAACCAACCGACCTCCCACAATATCTCAACCAGGGTTCAATGCAGGACCATCATCATCTTCATCTTTACCACCTCCTGCTTCTTCTAAGCACAAAACAACAGAAAGACAGGAAAAGGGAGACAAGTTGCAAAAGAGACCCTTGATACCATTTCACCATAGGCCCTCTGTGGCCGAAGAGTTATGCATGGAACAGGATACACCAGGGCAGAAGCTAGGGTTGGCAGGGATAGACTCCTCCTTAGAGGTGTCCAGCAGTAGGAAGTATGATAAGCAAATGGCCGTGCCTTCCAGAAACACAAGCAAGCAAATGAATCTGAATCCTATGGATTCACCTCATTCCCCTATTTCCCCTCTGCCACCAACACTCAGCCCTCAGCCGCGAGGTCAGGAAACGGAGAGTCTGGACCCACCATCTGTCCCTGTGAATCCAGCTCTCTATGGAAATGGGCTGGAACTCCAGCAGTTGTCTACTCTGGATGACAGAACTGTCCTCGTAGGCCAAAGACTGCCTCTGATGGCAGAGGTCAGCGAGACAGCCTTATATTGTGGGATTAGGCACTCAAACCCGGAGTCATCAGATAAGTGGTGGCATAGTTTTTGTCTCCCACCCATTGATGATGTTGAGTTCCGGCCTCCAGAGCTTCAGGGTGAGAGGTGTGATGCCAAAATGGAGGTAAACTCAGAGAGCACTGCATTGCAAAGGTAAGGCGACTCTCCGCACTATCCACCTGATCACCCCCTAAATGAGGGCAAAGGCCATAGAACCCATGAATCGGGTTTTCCTCCTCACCTCTCCCTGCAGACTTTCAGATCCAAAATGAAAGAGGCTTTGCTTCATCATTTTAGACTCTGCATTTGGAAAATGTTTAAAAGTCAAATGCTTCATCATTTGTGAGGTTTAACACACATGTCACTATGTAAACATGCTGGCATATAAAGGTCTCATTGTGGCATTTAATGTACTAGCATTACATTTAATGTACTTTGTTTTGGTCCTGCTACTAATCAAAGAATACAGCTTTATGAGACTTTCCTTACTATGGTCAGTACCTTCTTGTTTCTTGACACTTTATAAAAACTCCTCACTCAAGGATATTTTGTTTGTTTGTTTTTTAAAATATATTTTTATTGATTTCAGAGAGGGAGAGAGAGAAACATCAATGATGAGAGAATCATTGATCAGCTGCCTCTTGCACGCCCCCTACTGGGGATTGAGCCCACAACCCGGGCATGTGCCCTTGACCAGAATCGAACCCAGGACCCTTCAGTCCGTGGGCCGACCCTCTATCCACTGAGCCAAACTGGTTCGGGTAGGATATGTTTTTATTGATTTTTTGAGAGAAAAAACATCGATGTGAGAGAGAAACTTTGACCGATTGCGTCTCGTACATATTCCAACTGCAGCCTGGGTATGTGCTCTGACCGGGAAAAGAACCTGCCACCATTTGGTGTACAGGACAACGCTCCAACCAACTGAGCCACCTGGCCAGGGCTCTTGACACTTTTAAGAAAGGATTTGTATGTATTTGGTTATGTATCACGTGTCCAGTAATAATGCTTAACATTTCTAGTGTTTTTGAGCTATCCTTAATTCTTAACAGTTTACACAGATTATCTCACTTAATCTTCATGTCACTACCTTAACTTCATAGATGAGAAAGAAACTAGGGTCATGCAGTTAGTAAATGACACACTTGAAATTTGAACCTAGACAGTCTGTTATGAGCCCATCTGTGCTCTTAAGTGGAACCCATGGAATCAGAGACAACAATATATATTCCTCACAGAGGCTACTAAGTTTTATTTAATTGTGAATACAGTCACTAGAAGAAATTCACTATGTAAATGAATTATTTTTAAGTTCAGTTTAAGCTTTACAAATGCTTTAAGTCATAAATGCTTTTCTTTTAAAAACATCATTCTTTTTACTTTATCTTGCCTAGCCTAAAATGTCATTTATTTTCCCTTTTAGACTCTTAGCACAACCTAATAAACGGTTTAAAATCTGGCACGACAAGCAGCCCCAGATGCAGCCACTCCACTTCCTTGACCCATTGCCTCTCTCACAACAACCTGGAGACAGTTTGGGAGAAGTCAATGACCCATATACCTTTGAGGACGGTGACATAAAATACATCTTTACAGCAAACAAGAAATGCAAACAAGGGACGGAAAAAGATTCCCTGAAAAAGAATAAGGTACCATTTAACATGGAGAGAGGTCCATGTGGTGTGGGTTTTGATCTATGTCAGCACAGCATGTGTGGGAGAACTGTTGAGGCAGAATGTTTGAGATAGCCGTGCCTGACTGCTCTGTCCCCATACTCATGCTCTTGGTACTATCGTATGAACAGCGTATCGTTCCCTTTTATGTCATGGCTCACCTTTGTTGAAAAGTCAGCCGAACATAAATGAAGCCTCATATTTTCCAGGCTATAGCTTGTACAGCGCATGTTTCCTCTCATATGCTAATTCTTGTTGGCCTATGCTCCCTCCTTATTTCTTTTAATTATGATTCCAAAATACCCAAAATGTAAAGAAAAAATGTTAACAGTATCTACTGTTTATTACGCGCTTACTGTGACTACTGTGCCAAGCGCTTTAACTATATCTCTTCTGAATTAATATTAACATCACTCTTTGACCATGTCAGTATTGATTATACTGTTTCATTGTCACAAAAATGAGTACTGGGTGTATCAGCTGTCTTCAGCCTTAAATGTTAAAACATTGTAAAATGCTAGACCATTTAAAGAGGTATTCTTGAGCATAGAGGAAGTAAGGCAATTAAAGGAGGCCAGTATAATTCAGGGGACTGCTTGTTAGATTCCTTACAGAGATGTATCCAGTTCTAGAAAGCTTGAACCATAATTCAGCATCCAAAATTTATTAAAGGCAGCTTGTAACACCATGGCAGGTCTGTAATCAAATGCCACCAGTACCATTTAGGCATAAAACCCTGATTGACTCAGAATACTCCATAGGATTGAGAGGAAAGTGTGGGAGTTTTGGTTCTGTTTAAATTCAGGGGAAAGGACATACCTTTTATTTCTTTTGGTTGCATAGACCATGGTTTATCATACTTGTGCTCATAACAAGTTCCATTCTACCCTCTAATTCTTTGTGTTCTCCCTCATATTCCACACTTTGGGTTGGTGTTCATGTGTTTTGTTTGGCTGAATTTATTATACAGTCAGAGGATGGATTTGGTACCAAGGATGTCACTACACCAGGTCATTCCACGCCGGTGCCTGATGGGAAAAATGCCATGTCTATTTTCAGTTCTGCTACTAAAACAGGTGTGTACAATGATTATTTGCCTCACTTGGATTGTTGCTAAAATAAAATGCGAGGGAGATGCTTCTCGATTTCAAATTATATTCTTATAGTAATAGCAATAATTTGATCTCATCTTTAATATATTTTTCATAGTTTGTTTTTCAGTTCCTTTCAAAACTGATAAACATATAAGGAAATAATTGTCTCTAAATTTAACTGAAAACATAGGGAAAAATTCACAGGCAGGTGTTGCTCATTGAGATCCATGTCCTCTCCTCATTTCTTCTTCCTTAATGAAGATGCTCATTCTGTTTATTTTGTCTCCTTTCCCATAGATGTCCGGCAAGATAATGCTGCTGGCAGAGCTGGCTCCAGTAGCCTTACGCAGGTGACAGATTTGGCACCTTCCCTGCATGACTTAGACAACATCTTTGATAATTCTGATGACGACGAACTTGGGGTGAGTCTGCCATAGCTACACAAACAAAAATTTCCCTAAATGGAAGGCTTTATGTTGGTGTCTCAGTATTTCTTTATAGTTGGCCTGCTGAACTTGGGGGTTTTTAGTTCAGGTTCTTGAATGTTCTTAAAAAATACTTGTGTACTTTGAAAGGTTTCGAAAAGTTACTAGTCTATAACATTCCTTGGGTTTGCTTGTTGATGGCTTTTTTTCATTAATGTTATTCCTGGTGTAAATACTAAAATCTTTACATTTGTTTTTTAAAATCCTTTGAAATATCATAAGACTAATAAAGTATTACGTAGTCCCTTTAGCTCTACATTTTGAGAGATCCACAAGAATAGTCTATACTTTTTAAGATGATGGCATCATAGTAGGGAAGTAGAATTTATGCACATGGAAGTTTAATAATACCAGGCATTATGTAATTAAAGTGACAGATAAGAATTACAATTCTTTGGAGAACAGCTGACTTGAGTCAGGAAGTTTGTGTCCTTGTCCTCCAAACCAGCTCTGTGTGTTCGGGCAAATAGAAATGCTGTTATTTCTGGGGTGCCTAGAGATTAGTAAGGTAGGCTTGCTCTTCAAGGAAATCAGTTTATTATTCTTCCATTCATGTATTTATCTTTCTTCCCATCCGTGTATTTTACATATTTGTTAATCATTTGAAGATTAGTTCCCTTGTGTTAGCAACTCGAGGTTACAAATATTATTAACTTACCATCCTTATACTTGAAACACCCACAGACTTCAGGAGAAATAGCGTATAAATAAAATTAAAATTGTATTTATGGCTATGAGAGGAGTAATTAACCCAAATCTAAAGATGCTGGACATTCAAGTACAAAGTGACAAGCAATCAGTGTTTTACTGAAGGATTGATGGTTAAGTAGGAATCAAATTTCTAAAGCCCTTTCTCACTTTAAAATAAAATGTATCTGATTAACAGATATTATACACCATCTATATGTATAAAAGCCTAAGCGACCGTTATGGTGGAACAACCAGAACAACTGGTTGCTATGACACGCACTGAGCAGGCAAGCAGGCAGGCGAGAGTTTAGTGGCGAGTGGTCCTGGATTGTGAGAGGGATGTCTGGCTGCAGGGATTGGGCCTAAACCAACAGTTGGACATCCCCAGAGGGGTCCTGGATTGCGAGAGGGCGCAGGCTGGGCTGAGGGACTCCCCTCTCCACTGCACGAATTCCATGCACTGGGCCTCTAGTTAGTATTATAAGTACTTTTAAGATTATCCTATCTAATAAAAGAGAAACATGGTAATTAGCCGTACATCCGCTACCCTTCCCATTGGATAACTAGTGGCCCGGTGCACAAAATTCGTGCATGGGGGAGGGTGTGTTCCTCAGCCTGGCCTGCACCCTCTCCAATTTGGGACCCCTCAAAAAATGTCCTGCCAGTTTACAGGGATTGGGCCTAAACCAGTAGTTGGACATCCCTCTCATAATCCGGGACTGCTGGCTCCTAACCACTCACCTGCCTGCCTGCCTGCCTGATTGCCTCTAACCACTCTGCCTGCTGGCCTGTTCGCCCCCAACTGCCCTCCCCCCCCACTGCTGGCCTGCTTACCCCCAATGGCCCCATCCCCCACCAGCCTGATCACCCACAACTGCCCTCCCCTCTTGGCCTCTAACCACCTCTACCTCAGCCCCACCACCATGGCTTTGTCCAGAAGAACATCTGGAAGGTCTCCTGGAAGGTCTCCCAGTCTAATTAGCATATTACTCTTTTATTAGTATAGATATATTTGTCTGTAAATATGGTTATGATTGCAGATATGAGTAGGACCAGGTAAAACTTTATAGAATGGGCCTTTTATTACAGATGGTGTGCCATGTATGCATTTTTTCTAAAGAAGTAAAAATTACTTTAAAAAGTGTTTCAGGAAGACTTTGAGAAATTTACAGTATCTGCTTTTCTTCCAAGAAAGTTGTCACTTTTATGCCAGAGTGAGAATTATTTGTATGCTTTGTATGTCAGCATTGGGCCACTGTGACTGGGGGGCACTTAGCTTGACTTGAGGGTAATTATCTTGCTCACTGGCTGGGAGGGAGGGTGTGTGGCAGAGGAGATAAATACTGGGTTCTGGATTATTCATAGATTGCTGACTTTCTGGATTGATTGTGCAAGCCCCTCCTTTTATTGATGTCCACCTTCTGTTGACAGACAGCTACCCTGGGAGAGAAATGAGATGAAACTCTCTTTCTTGTCATTGTAAAAAGCATTTGAATTCCTAAGGTGTGATAAGACCACCCAGCCATCCACAGTCAAGGCACACATTTTCATGGAGGATGTTCCCACTCTTGAATAAATTAAAACAAATTTTTTCTTTTAATTTAAAGTTTCTTCTATAACTGGTTTCTTGTTACTTAAAAGCTAGTTTTTTTTTGAAACTGCTTCCAAAGCTTTTCAAGCTGTATATGTCCTTGGAATGAATTTATAAATAAGAATTGAGCCCGGCGGGTGTGACTCAGTGGTTTAGCATCAACCTATGAACCAGGAAGTCACAGTTTGATTCCTGGTCAGGCCACATGCCCAGGTTTTGGCCTGATCCCCAGTACGGGGTGTGTAGGAGGCAGCCGATCAATGATTCTCTCTCATCATTGATGTTTCTGTCTCTCTCCCTCTCCCTTCCTCTCTGAATCAGTAAGAATATATTTTAAAGAGAGAGAGAGAGAGAAAGAGAGAGAGAGAGAGAGAGAGAAGAGTGTATATGTTTGTAAATAAGAAAACATGTATTTGATGCTCTTAGAAAGTCTTATTTTCTTTCATTATAACTTGTGCAGTATAGGGAACTCCATAGATTCTCTCAATTTGAAGAAAGTTAGAGGGAGAGGTACTAATTCAGAGTTCCTTGGGAAAATGTATCACTTATATATATATATATATTTTTTAAATATATATATATATATTTTTTTTTAAAAATATTCAGAAAATATATTTGGATCTAAACATCGTCTATAATTTTAACCCTAAAATATCAAGTTAAATATTTTAAAAATGGTTGGGATGTTTGTTTTTTTTAAATAAGTTAGGTTACTGGAGTTCTACATGTTACTGGATCACCTGGGATAATTTTCTGATTGGAAAATTAAGAATTATAGTCAGAGGAAAGGACATTAGAATTTTAAAAGAACATATTCAATTTACTTTAGAAGCCGAACCTATCTTATCATGTGACTTGTTTATATGTCTGTTAAACTATATTATCACATAAGCATTGCTGCTATTGGGACAAACAGTGACAGTTGATTCGGGTCATTTGAATGTCCACTGTCTGTTTTAATTTGTCTGTTCCTTTTGACTCTGTCATATGCCCAATCTTCAGTGGAAGTCATGAGAACCTATTATTTTTGCCTGCTCCCTCCTTTACGTTGGAAATATTCTTTTTTACCCAGAGGGACCTTAACTTTGATGTAAGGGATTGTTTCCATTGCCAACTTTTTTCTTCCTTGCCAAGTAAGAGAGCTGTTGTGAACTCTTCAGTGATGCCTTCCCCAGGATATTTGCAGATGTGGTTGGGAAAAGTCATTTCATCCCCGACCTTTGCATGTTAGGTGCTAGGGTGCCCGGGTGCCGCCTGGCCTGCGCCCAGGCTCTCCCGCCCTCCGCCCAGGCTCTCCCGCCCTCCGATCGCCATGGCAATCTCAGGGCCGCAGAGTTTTATTTGTTTCAGAGGAGTATAAATTATTTAAGAATTAAAGCTATGTGCACACAGCCAAAAAAAAAAATCGGCTCTACCAGTCCCACCTGTCCTGGTAGGGACTGACAGCAAAGCCCCTCTCCATCCCGAGCCCTCCAGCCCCATGCAGATGGAGCCCCCCAGGCGAGAGCCGAGCAGCGTGGACCTGAGGGCTGTGCACCTGTAGCGACTGCAGAGGGAGAGAGGCAGGCAGGAGCAGCAAGCCAAGGAGGGCCCACGGCCGCAGGCCCGGGGCTGCGGAAGTTGCCAGAAAAGAAAAAGAAAGATGCAAAAGGACCCCGGCCCTGGATCTGCCCTCCACGGAGGACTTCGATGCCCTGGTCTCGGCCGCCATGAAGCAGCGACATGACTCTGGGCCAGCTCTGCCCACACTGCAGCCACCGCTACTGCCTCAGCCACTGCCAGCCCAGAATCCATGGCTGTGGGGAGAGGGCCCGCACCCACACCCCACAGAAAATCAGCCGGGAGGCAGTGCTGTACGCAGGCAGTGGGGCCAAGGACGGGTCCCTGGACCCCGCCAAGAGGGCCCAGCTGCAGAGGAGCCTGGATAAGAAGCTGGGCGAGCTAAGCAGCCAGAGGAGGAGCAAAAGGAGGGAGAAGGAGATGTGAGCCGGCCCTCACACCCTCCGGCCTTGTCTTTGCAAATGCGGTGGGGGCAAGCGGCCCTCCCTGGTGCTTTCTGTGCCTTATAGCTGCTCCGGTGACATGACCAGGGTTGCATGAGCAAGCCAGGGGCCTCTGGGAGGGGGTGGGTCCTTGGGCCCAGCGTGCCCTGCCTTGCGCTGGGGTGGGCGGGGGCTGCAGTGGCTGTTCCCTGGACCTTCCTGGGGAGAGCCGCCCCAGGTCTCAGTTTTGCTGGCACCAGGGCCCCCTGGGGCTCTCCGAGGTCCCTCACCAACTGCTTTAAGAGAACCTTTAAGAGAGGTTCCTGGAGTCCGGGTTGCCGCCTGTCCTGCGCCCCGCCCTCCTGCCCTCCGATCACCATGATGGGGGTCCGGGGTTGATGCCTGGTCTGCGCTCCGGCCCTCCTGCCCTCCGATTGCCATGGCGGGGGTCCGGGGTTGCTGCCTGGCCTGCGCCCGGCCCTCCCGCCCTTCCATTGCCATGGTGGGGGTCCCGGGTTGATGCCTGGCCTGCGCTCCGGCCCTTCCGCCCTCCGATCACCATGGCGGGGGTCCGGGGTTGCTGCCTGGCCTGCAACTGGCCCTCCCGCCCTTCGATTGCCACGGTGGGGGTCCGGGGTTGATGCCTGGCCTGCGCTCCGGCCCTCCCACCCTCC